TGAAATTTTACTAAGTTGCATTTGCAAACCAAAAGACATTTACTACACACAACTAATATGGGGAGAAACAAAAAACGTGAGTTGTGCTGACAAAATGAGTTCCTTCTCACAATCCACTAATGGAGATATCGGCCAAACATCGACACTAGGGTCAAATTTGAAGATTTTCTTTAAGTATACCATATATTTTATTATTTCATACTCAAGAAATTGTAAAACTTCACTTATAAGCGTGATGTATCCATTTCAATAGGACTAGAAGAATCCGAGAAGTAACTCATTTTGTCAGAACCCTTCACATATGCTGTAAATAATGACTGTTCTCAGCTTCTTTCAGGGATGCCACTGGACTTTTGTAAAAATAACTGAATATTTTTTAGAGACTAGATATCTAGCAAGCGTGAGACTGAGAGCGCAAGGCTAGGCCTGGCCTACATTAGAAATCGGACCTAAGCATCTGGTTGATTATGCGCATCTTCATTCAGGGAGTGTACTTCCATTGAATAAAAATATGGATCCTCGTGTCACTCCATCCGTACATGGAACAAAACGGAAAATCGGCTTCCCACACAACTATTTTCGAATGGTTAACGGAAAACGGATTTAAAAACGAACGATGCCCAAAATAACAGAAAAAAAGGAAAATAATGGAAAAGCGGCATCCCCGTTCTTTCAGTCTAAAAATACAGAAAAACAGCACCCCTTTGTGCAGTAGAGCTAGCCTTTGCCATGTTCTCACAATTAACTTCACAAATGCAGTACTATTGGGTATTTTTGAGTGAATACTTTTTCGTAAGATATTAAAACTATTTTTTTTCCTTTCAAAAGGTAGATTCTATGCCCCCTTCACACAAGATACCGGTACTATTTCTACCAATGCAGTTCATCAGAAGTGAGATAATGGTCGCTACATGGCTTCTCCTTGATTATTATTATTTTGTCAGAGTTACACGTAGTTCCGGTGCAATTTCACATCTAAGTGGATGAGCAAGTGGCTTACATGACGTCTTGAGCAGATATCTCAGCTGACTAGAGTAGAGGAAAGCCCTTCCAACTACTCTGTCACACTCTCAGACATATACACAAACCAAAACATATTCTTTCTCCCTTTTTCAAGCACGCACACAGATATGTAGCCGACCCACAAACTAAACAACTTAATCCACTGAAAAAAATTGAGCACACACACATACAAACACACACACACAAATAAATGCATCTATAACACACTGAATGGCAATAGATCCGCCAGGGTACAAAGGAAAGATATGTCAATAAATTGCAGCCAGCCTTCGACTCAACTAGGGAAATCAAATCAATCTGTTTCTTGGTTCTGAATCTGGTTACATTCACTACACATAGGAGCCATGGCACAATCACAATCGCTCAAACAACAACCCAGTCGGAGACAAACGAGGAAAGGAAAAGAAGTAATTAAAACAAAAATCATCAACTCTTTCAGGACGTAATGGACACATAATTATGTCGAAGAGCAGACAAAAAAAATCAAAGAAAAAAATTAATCAAACCATTTTAAAAAGTCTTGTCGGTCTCAGCATTTATACTTTAATATTGTACATTCCAAAATTCCAAGAGAAAAAAAAAATTACATTTTACCATTAAGAACCACTTCATCAGTCACACCATTTTCTACCTTACTTATACAGTCAGGAGACACATAAAATGGCATCAATATGACAGAAAATCAGAAAGAAAAAATTGTGAGAGGTCATTCTAAGCAGCGTCTACTGTACAAGCATCAAACGGTCAATCGGGAAAAAGTCACAGTAGAATGGTCAATTGGGGGAAAAGCCACAGTAGAATGGTCAATGGGGGAAGTCACTGTAGACATCTGAATAGTCAAACAGAGTAATCCAACACAAGAAGTGGAAAAGACAACATCCAGATAGAAAACCATCAGCTAAGTTACACAGTTACTACATTCGTACTCGGTCTACACAGCACAGTTACGTCAGCTGTAGCATGGCCTAGTCATAGTACCACATTGTTCTTCAACATTATATCAAACATACATGACAATAATCCGGTGAACTCTCTCTCTCGACATATGGACGCTTTTAGGAATAAGAGGGCTAACTAACCCAGATTTCGGGGGTTTCCAGAAATCTTGACCTACACCAGTAGGAGAAGTTTGGTTTCATCTGAGTGTATATTTGTTTGGCTATAGAGAAAACTCTTCTTGTCTTTTAAAGAAACTGAACAAGGGTCCAAAAACTTTACCTACGATTTTCTCAAAAGAGCATTTTTCGGGAACAGCCCCTTGTGCTTATAAAAGCTACCATATTTCCTTTAACGAAGCGGCTTCAAACTTGTCACTTTTACACAACAATCCTACAGATCTTTCTTCTCTACGTCACAAAACAATATCATGACAAGTTCCGAAATAACCCAATAGTTTTCTTCAACACATTACCAAACAACACATCGAAAAATTCAGTCAACTCTTGTCAGACATATTGCCCACAGATCTAAATCAGGAACCAGCCATTTCTAACTGTAACCTAGTAAAACATAACATCCAAGTCAAGCGGCCAGGCATCCCACTTGCAAAATAAAATCACTTTGGGTCTGATTTTCGCTTCCGTCAGGTGGAATATTGTACCCTTTAAAAAAAAGTACAGTGCAGCCTCTCTATAACGACCTTCGATATATAACGACATCCTCAGTATAGCGACATGGCGCCCAGGTCACGATTTTTTCCTTATTATATCATTAATATTTTTGGTTGGCTCTCTAATAATAACAACTCATTATAACGACATTTTTTTCTGGTCCCGACAATGTCGTTATAGAGAGGCAGCACTGTACTTAATTCTACTGCTGGTGCACATTGTGTGATTTAACCCTATCCGTACGTCGTGTTTTACTACCGTATTCATACGACGTGGGGAACTCTGTGCCACCACTTTCCAAAGAGGAAATTTACTCG